CCTTATACGAAGAAGAAATAATGAACGAACTCAAGGAAATGACTGGTGCGCGAACGGTATTAAAATCTATTGCTTAAATATTTTTTTTATTTTATTGTAAGGTTCCACGTGTTTTCGTAAATGGAAAATGTATTGGTGGATGTGATGACACTATCAAGGCTCACGAGTCTGGACTACTTTGGAAACTGCTCTCTCGATGATTTCGTTGGGTCAGTAGAACCCCTTTTTTGCGCAAGCTTGTCAAACGCTTTTGCTTGCAATAAATATTTTTTTCCCGAAACTTTTTTAAACGTTTTTTTGGCACAACTAGACTACTTGAACGCTTTAGTTCTATGCTTTATTCATTTTGCCTATCAGGTGAAGATGATAAACGCCTATTGCCATTAATTAGAACAGACTAGCGTTTAATCTGGACTGATTTTATTTTTGTACTTTATAGACAAATAAGTATTGTATTCTAATATGATGTCTTTAGCCAGATCAACAGTTTTTTATCTGTGTGGAGAAAATTCTTTTAAATGATCTAGTGGTGATTCATGTTAAGACTATAGTTTCAACATAAATTTACCATGTCCGCGTGACCACAAAAAAATCCTGCCTACAAAAGTTGCTAATTGGATTTCATTATGATGGGACTAGTATCTTTGCCTAACTATTTTGTTAAGCAATATGAATCACTTCAAATATTGACGTAAAAGAGGCTAATTCAGCCACTTTAATCAAAACCGAAATATTTGCGGTTTTATGGATGCCGTTGCCTAAAGGCTACGTCACAAAATAGACAACTCATTCTATAGGCACTATTTACTTTTTCCAACAGACAATACTACAACCCTTATTTGCAACCAAGAAACATGTTTAAGGGAAATCAATCGGTTTGCCCTTAAGTATAAATGTTAAATTATATTAATATTAAATTTGCCTAATTACCGCACAAATCAGATTGTGAGTGTTTAATAGTTATGGTTCGAATTTTCACACGCCGTATAGTTTGGGGTTAATTAAAATTAATTAATATAGGGGTCATATTTCGCATTTTGGTAGTGCCAATCAGAGCTATCCTCGTATTTTAATCCCCTGACCCTCTTCTTAGTTTATACATGATATCCGTAGTTTTGTAGTATTCAGTGACGAAGCTAAGTGCATGAGAATGTTTAATTTGTTAGTAACTATATATCAAAACACTTTGCTGTTAAGTTTTTCGACATTTCTTTAGGAATTGTGTGGCTAGCTAGCAACTCGGTAGTTTGGAAGGTTAGCACTGTCAAAGTCAGTTCGCTCTCTTTGCTTCTGTTTAACCTGTAGGTAGCGCTGGTCGAAATGAGATAATACAGGATAAAAACACTTTAGTTGTTTGCTTATCTCAGCACATAAGACGCCGTTATTAGACTTTTCTTCACTAGCATGGCTCCCAGGTCATACAAGTAGCCCCGCAGTCCTCCTGAGATACGCAAGGCCCTATAAATGTGTTATCTGGACATGGTATGTGTAAACTTTGACATTAAATTTAGTCGGCGAAAATCATACGGTACTACGTTAACTTTACGTTTAACTGAATTATGCTAAAAGGATCACTTGGGTGCTCTGCCATTTTGCCTTTGCCAGGTAGGCTGGTCTACGCACCATTCATCAGCCCTTAGCCCTAGGGTATGTAGAATATATATGCATATATTCTGCTCAGATTTTATGTCTTCTTTCGCCTTTAGAGGTGTCTTGGGTGATGCATTGGTGGTAGTGGAAAGCTAACTCGATTTCTAATGCTAGGTAGCAAACCTTAGCAAGGCGGAAGAAGTACACACAGTGGGGTTAGAAGAATCGGTGACGACCCATAATCGAGGGGCTGAAAGCGATGTTTACCTGTGGCTTGCAGGAAGGGTACAAACAACTGAGATGACACTAAAGGTAAACTATCGGGAAAAGTTCTTTACGGCGCTGTCTACTGTTCCTGTATGAAGATTCCAAACAAGTAAAAATGCAGTTCCTTTCCACTTCACTACTAGATGGAATAAATTCGAGCAGTCATGGCTGAGCGCCGCTGACGTATTAAGGCGGAATTGAAGCAAAACCTTGCCCTCACGAAACTATGCTAAATTTTACCCTTTGCTATTTGGCTCTGTTTTTAGGCCATTGTTCCCTTAACCCGCTATAGCCGCGCATAAGTGTCAGCACAGTCCTCTGTCCTCGAATCCACTTCTCATACATGACAAAACGCCAGATCCAGTAGAACTGTCAAGAGAGATCAGTGACATTGCGACCAGGTATCTTCGCAATTTCGTGGAAACTCGACGTCTAGCACGGTTGGTTCGTGGGCGTCTCCTCACAGCATTGATAACGTTGTGATTGTTGACGCGGAAAGTTGAATAGGGAGGCGTCGAGGACAGCACTCAAAAGAGGAGAGGCTTTGCAATACTTTGTTTGCTTTATTTACTTTGCTTTCTTAGGCCTGCTGGACATGTCAGTAGCACCTAGCCGTACTGTATGTCCATCGTACACATTCTGTCCGAGTGTTGCGTCTTCCGTTCTCTTCAAGGAAGTATAGGGGTGCCATAAATAAACAAAACGATGACGCATTCATTACATGCTTGCATTAATTTCAGCACGTACACCAATGAGGTAATAAAAATGAATATTAAAGCATGATCGACGTTTCTTGAATCAAAGCTTCTTTGAATTTGCAATAAGCCACATCATTGCAAACGAAGAATCATTAATGATGTTGGAACGGATGAAACTTTAGATATGGATGCTGAAGGCGCCACCGAATGAATGTAATCGGGAGATTCTGCAATTCTTATCCTCTACCACTTTGCTAGGAATTTTTGAAATTCTAACCACCCATGGCAAACAATTAAGAGTTGTGACTTTGGGGTTTGCTAATCGTACAGGGAAAAGTGGATAGTGGTCATTTTTAACTAAATCTTGTCACTAATTTCGCACCCCTCTTATTCCACGAGGTGATACTAAGCCATACATTACGCGCAAATATTTATAATTCAGACTATAATAAGCCCAAATACCCATTTGATGATTTCGGAGTAAATGAGTTGCAATGACTATGCGTTCTTCATTGAAACCCGAAGTTTAGTCATGGGGTAGTACCAAACAGGGTTTTCGTGGTTCTTGATTACAAATGAGTGAAAGCTGGGGCTACCATGTTAGCCATATACACGTGAAACAACTTGGTAGTGGGACGGATGAATTCACTATGAAGAGAGAAGTGTGATGAAAGGATGGCACAAAGGTGGGGAGACCGCACCCAAGTGTTAACATAATCATGCAAGAAATTCTATCCTATGACCAAGATCTGATCTCCAATTCTGTAAATCCTGTACGTCGGGTGTTTCTCCTCCTTCTCCTCACTCCCAACCCCCTCCCCATCACAGTCATTGTCTTGCATTGGCGTAGAAAACCCGCATGCTTTAATCTCAGGTTGCGCTAATTGTTGCGATAGGTCCCAATAATAAACACAGGGAGCCCAGTACCAGTATAGGCATCATCTTCAAAGTCAATAGCCAAGAATTAGACAAATACTCAAACAATTTTATCGGAATAAAGCCAACCCAAGGCTCATAGCAAATTTAACAGTACGGACTTGCGAATTAGATTCTCCCGCAATTCTAAAGCCCATCGGGACGCCATCTCGCACAACGCTTCAATTTGCATCCTAACTGAGCGGTTCTGACAGTTATCGGGACCTTCGTGAGTATCTGAAAATTATCTCCCTTCACTATTAAAAAACCATTAGAGTAATTCCGCATCCTACTGTTTGTTAATAATACGAGTTCCGCACGAGTGTCATGTCTTCTTTTGCCTTTGGGAAAACTGCCAACAGATATAGCTCTTAAAGCTATCAACGACTAATTTTTTGCTTTTACTCTGGTGAGTAAAACAGTTCTAACTGCAAATATCGACATTGGAGACTACAGTTAAGTTGAACCTGGTGGCCTAAATATTTGAGTAAAATCAAAAAGACAATGCAGTAAAAAGTAGCATGTTTCAGTCAACTCATATTATTAACGAATTAGATAAAGTAGTACCTGATAAAAATTAGTTTGAATAATCTATCATAATGAACTTTACAATTCATTGGTAAAAGTATAATTTTATACTACCATTGGTAGGAAAGGACGGTGATAATGACTTCCGGCTGCAACAATATATGGGAGACGAGTAATTTATTTCATTTATAGCGGCCCCAGAAAATCAAATCCGAAATGGGAAAACAAGGTATTACCAAGACTAAGATGTTACGAGCTGAGCAAAATTGCATCGTAGTGGCCGATACGCTAGCCAATTAGTAGTGAATTATTAGGCCCTAATCATATTCAGAAAACCATCAGATATCTAAATCTTCCCTGACGTCTTGGATTACATTGCAATAATTTTGCATAACTCTTCAATAATATTAACTTGCAATCTGTTCTCAATGCATAGATCAATATAATGATAACCGGGCATTTATGTTTTATGCACTTAAGGCGTCCGCGGCTTTCTTGACGGGGTGTGCCAGCCTCTTCTGGAGGAGGAAATGACTTCATTTTTCGCTGACTTTGGTAAATTGTCATATTTGATCTACATTCCCTTTCAGAGGACCAATTTTCTGAGTATACATGGCCCCGACTCATATACAGTGCACTACGAGTTCCCGCTTACCATCTTTACTTTGAAATTTGTTTGATTATTGGAATTATCTGGCTTCTCTTCAAGCGTAGCTACAACATCCATGACAAAGTCAAGCTTTCTGCAGCGGAGAAAGAAGAGTTGATCAAAGAGTGGGTACCTGAGCCTCTGGTGCCTGCCTCATGGACTCCGCCAAAGAAACTTCTCGAGCGGTTCCACAGGGCTTCTGTTGGCCCTATTGGGAAGTAGGTACATAAATCTTTAATTTCTATGTAGTTTGCCATATGTATTTACTTTGCGCTGGTGTTTTAATTCTAGGTATGTTCAATTTGAAGGCGAATTAGGCGAAGTGACACCTCCCCATCTTAACGTTGCCAGCCTCAATTTCCTTGATTTTATTGGAGATGAGAAACTCAACAAAGTTGCCATTGAGGCGTTAAGGACTTATGGTCTTGGTGCTTGCGGTCCCCGTGGATTCTATGGTACCTTTGATGCCCACCTCACGTTGGAAAAGGCCATCGAGTCCTTTCTTGGTGTCGAGGAGGTGGTTCTCTATTCCTACGCTTTCTCCACCATCGCCAGTGCCATTCCAGCCTACGCCAAACGCACAGACCTCATCTTTGCTGACGAGGGAGTCAGTCAGGCTATCCAAGAAGGCCTTCGAGCCTCTCGTAGTACTATCCGCTACTTCCGGCACAATGATATTAACCACCTGGAAGAGCTGCTACTAGCCCAAGAAGCTGAGGATTCCAATGATCTGTCTCGAGCTTCGCATACTCGACGCTTCCTCGTCGTGGAGGGTCTCTACCTCGATTACGGTGATATCTGCCCACTGTCCCAGTTGGTCGACTTGAAGTACAAGTACAAAGTTCGAATTATTTTGGATGAATCCATCTCTTTCGGTGTCCTTGGAAAGGCTGGACGTGGCGTGACTGAACACTTCGGAATCAATGTGGAGCATGTGGACATCATAACAAGTCGGTTCCTTTTCCGCATTTGTGAAATTGAGGGGAGGGTAAATTCGCATTTCTTATTAGCGGGAAGGGATTTCTTGTCCCCGCCCAATTTTTGTCTGTATCAAGACATGGAATCTGGTCATTTATCAGTGCGACCACTCTGGCTTTGTTGGCTCGTTTCACTCCTTTAACCTGATTAACCCTGGCAAAAAGCCATTCCTTTCTTTCTATGTGTGTACGAGTCGGCTTGACTGAAAATTTAGCCATGCGCATGAAACTTATGCCGATCCAATGGAATTCAGCTTTTTTATATGTAGTGGTGTTGATGCAAAACTCTGCTCTCTCGAGAACAAGGTGTGAGTGTACACACTCTTAAGAGACTTTGTTCATTGCCATTTCACTGTACCATTTCGTCACACTTTCTGCCTTATTTGCGTCGCCTCATTTTAAGCCAAGCGTTTCACAGCCCATACTCGTTTCCGCATTCGCACATCCTACCTCCTGATTTTATCGAAGAGAATTAAAAGCGGGCTATATTTTGTAAGCCGTCCACGCAACCAGCTTGCCTAACGCTTACTTACCTTCAAAGATTGGGATGTATTGTTGCGGACAAAAACCTCAAGCTACCTTCTCGCGTATCTTCTAATCCCCACTTACTCATCGCCAAAGCTGCACTTCTTTCTTCACACACTTTCGTTGAGTGTCTCGTTCACCGCAAAAGGGAAAGTTTCTTCCATTTAGCATAAGAAAGGCCTAACTTTCTAGGCCTCTATTTGATTTACTTCCATTAGTATTTCGAAAAACTAACAATCATAGCCAGATGAATGTGTCTGGAATTGGATGGCTCTCAGGGGAACTCATTACACTGTTATTGGTTTTTGAAGATCCGTTTCAGGAGTACTGGAAAGTGATTTGTCTAGGCTAGAAACACTCCATTCCTTTCAGTTTTATGTACTACCATAAAAGCTATCGGAGCACCCCGCTTTTATGCAGTTCTTTATTCTTAGAAGTCAAGATAATACCCAGCTCCAACCAGCTCCGTTGCTATCTTAGCTCTTAGTTCTGAGAGATTATGAGAAGGGAAATACGCAGGGCGGGGCGGTATCCTCTCTTTCTCACTCCCTCTCACCCTCAAGTGCGATATGCGATCTCCTCACAGGTAAGCTTTGCGTCCTCGTGAGAACTTTCCTCTCACTAGCTGGCTAGTCGTGACCGTTTCCCAAGATGAATCTTTTCGTACAAGCGCTCGGGCGCATCGTATGCTAGCCGGCTTTCAGCAAGTGAACACTCATGTCTGCCATCCACCACATGCACTCGAGGCACTGTCTTCCGGTTAAAGGTGATATCTAAGAAGTGCGGAATGGTTAATGAGTGTGATATTTATGGATAACTAATGAAGCTATTTGCTTGTTCGCTAAAGGCCATTTCTCTTT